GCAGATTCTGCTAGTTACTATTATCATTATCATTTTTTATTTTGAAATGCTATGATCTCAGATTATATTTCTCTTCTGCCTTAGAGTTTTTTAATCAACAATTTACTCTCCAAGTATAAATAGCACTGCAAATTTCTCTCTGCATAGCAGTCAGAAAATGTTTTCTGCAGTATTTTTACATTTAAAACGTACTAACTTTCTTTACAATCGATTTTTGGTATTTTCTGTGGAAGCTTGAGAAGAAGCTTTATTTTCTGTCATCAGTATACAGATGAATATACATCCATTGAAGCTACTTTGTTAATTAAATTTTTAGGTCTTCTTTCTTTTCAATCAGTTTTTTTTAACTATTTTATCTGTTCTGAGAGTGATAGGTTAAAGTTGTTCATCATTATTACTGTGAATCTCTCTGTCTCTATCTCTCCTTGATAGATAGCTAGACCAATATCTATGTATTTTTCTTAAAGATGGTTTCTGTTTTTAGCACATAAATAATATACTCAGATGTGTAATATATCTCTTGTTAGGTTATTGCTTTGGGGAAAAACACTGGAGTTGAAAATAAATCTCACCATGCTACTTACTACTCTGCCAAAAGACACACAGTACATGGACTGGTGGAGTTCTTTCTGTACTTTCAGGCAGCAATGGCAGGGACCAATGGAACCACCTGCCACACAACATAAACTAAACAGACCAAAATAACTTTGCAATAACTCTGAATGTTATGAATCATAGCTCACAACATCCATGTGCTAACCTGAACAGGATGAGTTCAAGTACATAATGTCAATGAGGAAAAGAACTAGCAATAATATAAACTTTAGAAGAAAGATGAGATCTTCCCAGAGGCATATTCAAGTGCAAAATATAAAGAAAGAAGGAGGGCTTCCCTGGTGGCTCAGTGGTAAAGAATCTGTCTGCCAGTGCAAGAGAAATGGGTTCAATTCCTGGTCTGGGAGGAGCCCACGTGCCATGGAGCAGCTAGGTTCATGTGCCACAACTATAGAGCCTGTGCTCTAGAGCCCGGGAACTGCAACTACTAAGTCCATGTGCTTCAACTACTGCCCTGTAGACTGTGCTCCGTGATGAGAAGCCACTGCAAAGAGACTAACAGAGACCACCATGTTCACTATTATTACTGCAAATTTATCACTGCAGGGAAGACTAGCCACAACTAGAGAGTAACCAGTGCAGTGACAAAGACCCAGCACAGTCAAAAATAAATACATAAAGTTATTTTAAAAGAGGAAAGAATGAGATACTAAAGAAATAACATGAAGTGGTAAGAAGAGAGATACTACTTTGCCAGTGTCTTTAACCAAAGTTTGGATGTTCTGAAGATGAAGTTTTGGGGTAATCAAGGTAGATAACAGTAGCCCCTGAATATGGTCGCAAAAACTCATAGTAGAAAAGCACTGGTTGGATGTAGCTTTTTATCCACACATATATATTGTCAACTAAAAATAGTGAACGCTATCTCACAGACAACATGCAAACTCTCACACATACACACAATCACAGGAAATCCACATCAATAAATATGCATGAAAACATTGCAGGTGTGAAAAACAGAATACCTTTAATGGAAAATCAATTTAGATATTTTTTGTAAATGGAAGTGGGATTTTATGGACAGAGAAGTCAGACGAGTACAATCCATGGGGTTGCAGAGTTAGACATGGCTGAGCAACCAACACACACACACCCAAGATTGTTTGTATTCAATCTTATAATAATGGGCTTCCCAGGTGGTGCTAGTGGTAAAGATGGCATCTGACAATGCAGAAGATATAAGAGACACTGGTTCAATCCCTGGGTTGGGAAGATTTCCCCGGAGGAGGGCGTGACAACCCATTCCACTATCCTTGCCTGGAGAGAACCATGGATAGAGGAGCCTGGCCGGCTACAATCTATAGGATTGCAAAGAGTCAGATATGACTGAAGCAACTTAAGACGCATACACATAATAATAACATAGAACAAATGAATGTTTTTAAAATTATTGGAAACTGGCAATTCAATCAAAAAAAAGTCTGATGTTACATGGTAGCTTAGATTTGGTTGTCATTGTTTTATACACAAGAACATCCTTAGTATAATTAATGCTGGATGAATATATGATGCCTCTATTTATAATAGAATATCCTGAACAGATGAGCACCCTAGAATCTCTCAGAAGAATCCAGAAAACCAAGTATCTTCAATAGCATCATGGATGGTAGCAGGTGTATCCACAGTCACTGTGGTCACTTCCATAGCCATACCCCAGGCTGCCACGGCCACCATAGTAGTTGCTATTGAAGCTCATGATGTGAGGAGAAGAAGGCTTAATTAAAGAGAAGATTTAGTTTCAAAAGTTTTGTGCTTAAAATCTGTTACAATGGGCTTCCTAGGTGGCACTAGTGGTAAAGAAGCCACCTGCCAATGCCTGAAACATAAGAGAGGTGGGTTTGATCCCTGAGTGGGGAAGATATCCTAGAAGATACTCTAGGAAAGGGTACAGCAAACCAATACCAATTGAGTGGTATGTGAGGCAAACCACAGGCATTGTTGGACGCATACTTCAAACTAAATGGCATTGAGACTATCTCAAAGATTCCTCATGACCAATATATTCAAGCCAAAACAACTCTGCTATGTGTCATGACACCTATCAGTAAATCAAATGCCTTAAATGAGAGATTCTTCTCCTAATTTAATGGTTTATTGATTCCAAATTGCAAATTTAAACTATGTTACTATCGGCATGTGATCATATAATCCATACAGATTCTGTCTGTTGAAAATCTTATTTTAATAATACCTTCCATTCTATCTGCATATATGGAGTCTTGGGAATAAAATTGTGGCTTCAAAGTGGTAGGAGACTAGGGCAAGTTTGTGGAGAAGATAAGGAGAAGACATAGAGAAGACACTGCTGTGTCAGTAGCTCGTCCTGTCTGACTCTTTGCAACCCCATGGACTGCAGCCTGCCAGGCTCCTCTGTCTATGAAATTCTCCAGGCAAGGATACTGGAGTGGGAAGCCATTTTCCTCTAGGGGATCTTCCCAATCCAGGGATTAAACCTGGGCCTCCTGCATTTCAGGCAGATTCGTTACCATCTGAGCCACCAGGAAAGCCAATGGCAGGGTTTAATTCTAAATCCTTGAATACCTAATATGTTCTATTAAATTTCTGAAGCAATGTTATTCATTTAATTTATACTTACATATATCTGCATCTATCATTTTGTAAATGATCAAAAGTCATGGTAGAGTCCTTGACATTTAAATCCATTAACACTGCCACCTATTAAATGTTGCTATCAAGATAATAATACCTTTCACGACTATTTTAATCAAACACTCCTCCCCCTCCAAGAAAAAAAGCAGTCAACTATAGATTTTTTTTTTTTTGAGTGAGGCAATTTAGTCATACCAATTTCAGGTGATGTTCTAAGAACTTTGATAGCCTAGAGGAAGAGTGATCATTAGGCTATTTAAATTAGTTTTTTCCTGGAAACGTGTTTTAATTTATCACTTGATTGATTCTGCATTGTAATATAGTTGATGCTACTTTTATTTCTCTATGGGAAATTTGAAAATTATATAGTGAAGATGTTTCGTAGGTCTAATATCTTCACCCAGCAAATGGTGAAAAAAAGTCATAACACTCTATTTTACAAAAATGACCCTACCAAACACACACATGGAAAGGACACTCAGAAGTGTATGTTTGTTTTCTTATTAGATGAATGTGTTTGATCAGATCTCTAGTATGAAAGCATTCTGTTTCACTAAAAAGCAATTTTTGACTCATCAGATATACTCAAGATAGATGTGTTGGAAAGATTTTGAAATCTTATGGCTTCATTCTTGTGATTTCTAGAGGAGAACTGGCTGAAATTAAGGGTGTATTCAAAACCATGTATTCTCTCTCCCTTTCTAAAGTTTTGAGAATATATGTAAAACTGTTTCTACTCAGAAATACCATTAGAAAAGTAAAAATCTACTGATAGATTTCACATGGATCGGTGGATAATGACACCTCCCCATGTGCCCTCTTTAAGAGAAGGCACAAGTTACATTTTAACTGTGATGTAAAACCATTTACACTTTTCTGGTGCCAACCAATGAGATGGAGAGTCACACTAACTTGAATTAAGACAACAGTAATACTAAGGCTATACAAGAGAACTCAGTGTGACTGGTGACAAAGAGAATAATGATCAGATATCTTGATGAAGGAACAGACCTGTGTCTAATCCACTGGTATACGTAAATATATGTTGTTTAGCCTTTTTTATACTTACTTAGAATATAACTCAAATACTGATACAGAATCTAATCTGTTACTGATAAGAAAAAGTGGAGAAACTGGATTCCAAGGAATAATTTAAGTTTGTAGTCCTTCAGTAAAAATTGAATGCAAGTGAGAATTAGGCTGATTGGTTTAAGTAGAAAAGCATAGTGCCATTTTGGTCTGACTTGGTTTTTTTGCAAGTTTTAATTGGTTGGGTTAATATCAACATCCTGGGGTTGAAAGATACATTATGGTTTCAGTATAGAATGAGAACTGAATATCTGAAGAAGATAATTAATTCGAATCAAGAGAAGAAAGATAAACACAAGAGTCAAAGGATTGTTATGCTTATGAAATGTTTAAAAAATCAGTGAAACTAATTGGAACCAAGAGCAAATAAGACTGAGGTCTTACCGGTATAGTCATTTGTGACATAAAGGAAGGTTCGAGGAGGTTAAAGTGAACATATAATTTGGAGCAGGCAATGTAGGTGTCTCCTTTCATTCAAGACCTCATTTGGATTAGAGGAGCCCAAACAGGTCAACAAAACAAGCTTCCTAAATTACTTTGAGGTTTTATCCTGTGGTTGAGCAAAAACAAACTAATTAGAGTGGTCATAAAGTTAGCCAATGGCATGAAGGCGTGGTGGGTCACACCCACACTGAGGGTGTATAAAAGGCCCTCTGCAGGGAGAACTCTCCACACTCAAGTGACACTTCTACTCTCCTTCTCCACCCGAGAACAACCTCAACAACCAACACCATGTGTGGCTACTACGGAAACTACTATGGCGGCCTGGGCTGTGGCAGCTACGGCTACGGAGGCCTGGGCTGTGGCTATGGCTCCTGCTATGGCTCTGGCTTCCGCAGGCTGGGCTGTGGCTATGGCTGTGGCTACGGCTATGGCGCCCGCTCCCTCTGTGGAAGTGGCTACAGCTATGGCGCCCGCTCTCTCTGTGGAAGTGGCTACGGCTATGGCTCCCGCTCTCTCTCTGGCTGTGGCTATGGATGCAGCTCTGGCTATGGCTCTGGTTTTGGCTACTACTATTGAGGACACCACGGAAGACTCTCATCCTCTACACCCGGACACCAGGATTCACCAGCTCTGAAGCCCTCATGTTCTGTGCCTTGCCCCTGGGTGATGGTTATCCCGCAGCAAGGAAGTTTAGTGTGAACTATTTCTAGCCTACCTTCTAACCTACATTCTCTGAATTTACATCATTAAGTGACATAAAGTGAAATCCACCTTGACCTCAGAGTTTCATCAAGACGGTGATACCATAGTAACTGACTTGATGCCTTCCATGCTGTCTTTGTCTTAACCTAATAAATGTGTTCGATGCAAACAGCAATTCTGGTTTTTAATGTCAGTTATTTGATATCCAATATTATTTACAGACACTTTTTGGCAGAATTCTATTCCTTGTGTTTGTATAGCTGAGGGGCTCAACATTGATTGTTGGTGGGAGGCCTTCACCACCTGGCTGATGGAGGCCAGCCTTGGCTTCAGGAGGCTGGCTGTAGCTCCCTGCCATATGTGTTGTGTTTTATGCTTAGTCGCTCAGTCATGTCTGACTCTTTGTGACCCCATGGACTGTAGCCCAACAGGCTCGTCTGTCCATGGGGATTCTCCAGGCAAGAATACTGGAGTGTGTTGCCATAGCCTCCTCCAGGGGATCTTCTCAACCCAGGGATTGAACTCAGATCTCCTGCATTTCAGGCAGATTCTTCACTGTCTGAGCCACCTCCTTGCCATATTGGTTCCAAATATGGCTGTGTGCCTTCTCAAGGCTTGGAAAGGTGAGAAAGTTACTCTAGCAAGATCGGTTCTACAATGCCATACAATTTTATGTGTCAGAAACACACACACATGATCACATGCATTTTATTGTTTGTTATATTTCATTGTTAGAAGTAAATAACAAGTCCTGTCCATTCTCAAGAGGAGGGAATAACTAAGGCATTGACAGCAAAAGTACATTTGTAGGCAACTTAATCTATCTATCACTTGGATGCGGCTCTGGCTATGGCTCTGGTTTTGGCTACTACTATTGAGGACGCCATGGAAGACTCTCACCCTCTACACCTGGACACCAGGATTCACCAGCTCTGAACCCCACGTATGCAGAAACTTGCTGAAGACGTGCCTTTTAATGCCGTTTACATATGATACACCCATGCTTCCCTTTATGCATTTAACTTTTAAGTAGAGGAATTGAAATTCATCCTGAGAATTCCCATATGATCCCCTATTATAATGGTGGTCACAGATTCTGCCTTTATGTTTTCATGCTGAAGCCATTTCTCTCTTTTCCTAATAAACTTGTTTAATCTGGAAAAATAAACCTTGGTTTGTTTTCATTTAAACTGTGATATTCACAGTTTTGTTTTTTCCATGATTGAATTTAAAAAATTGTCTTATTTAGGAATATCTTTTTTTTTCTTTGTTTTTCTATTTCTACTTCAGTTGTTCTACCAAATCCTTCAGTTCTGACAGCAATGTCAGTTTTGTAGATGTCCGTTTTCAGTTCTGGTTAAGCAATCACTGCATATATTATATCATGTTATTGCAATAAAGTGATATTTGCCAGTTTAGTACAGTTTAGCTAAGCATTGCCTGGAAATACTATATATTCCAAGTACTTTTATACCAAAACTTTAATCTGTGTGAAGTTTTTTTGGAAGATGTGCTCATCGAAGCATAATTACTGTTTCTAATCTTTGATTCTAGCACACTTCCGCAAGAAGTATTTCTTATGCTTGTTCAGTTCAAGAAGTGAACAAAGTCAAATCTACCCTGGCCTGCTTCCTCCTAACTTTAACAAACCTTACTATATTTTAAAATTTTGTTTTTTTTGAAGAAGACACCATTTCAGAAACTCATGACACATTTTTGTTTAGAGCTATTGCATAGCATTTCTATGTTCTTATCTGTCCTGAGTTATGTCTTTTCTTGGTTTTTGTGTGGCTTCACAGTTTTAATTGCAATTATTTGCCTTTCCAATAATTTTTGTGATTCATATGTTTGGGAACTTTTCAATTATTATTTTTTTTTTTTTTTGAAATGAGATTTCTAAATCCTGGACGTGAGTGAGTTCAACTGCTCTATTTAGTTTAAGGTGAGGGACATGCCTCACTTCATGTTGACAGGTTCACAGTTTGAAATTGTTGACCTCCCAAGAATGGAGTAAGATATCTGGGAAGATAAAATCCCTCAACAGAGCTTTTTTTTCCTCTTTAAGTATGAGAATTTGTCTTTCTTATTTACTTTATTCTTAAATTTTGGAATTTTTGTTTAATATTAAGTAACAATTAGATGATTTATATTCCTACATCTCAAGAAACAGTGGATTTTACAACTATTTGGCTTGGTTGGTAAAAGTATTTTACCTTACCATTATGATTTTCTAACAGTTATTATCTACATGAAGGAAAGTCTTCAATATTAAGCATAATAAGGGGTCTAGTTTATAGATATACACTTATAAGTAAAAATAAAGAGAAAATACATTAAAAATGCATGGTAAATGAATAAATAATTGCATTTTATCTGATTATTTTAGGAAAATATTGTTATATTATGTTAAAAGTCTATTTTTATATTAATTTAAATTACTTGCCAAAGCAGATAAGTTGAATGAATTACAAAACTATTGTGTTCTGAATTCCAGAGGAAGATTAGATGAAATGCAGGTAGTTTCCTGTCCTGAAATCTCTTCATTGCTGCATAATCAGTTCCTCTATGCTTGTAAATCATATGAATAAATTTATAATGACCAGATTATGAATGAAATGTCAACACCTTGGTCATTGATTACAGATGTGTCCATAATCACACATTAGTCCTGCATCCTCACAAAGACATCATATCTTATTGTTTTTGGACAATAACAAGATTCTCTTGACTTTGCTGTGCCTCCTAGTAGCCTGAATTATCATAGTGAAAAAAAATGACATAAAATGATGTTTCAATGATTATTTAAGAGAGTTCCATGGATTTGATAAAAATAGATTACCTATTTAATGTTGTGTGTCTTTACAAATGAACTTATCTTCATCTAAGACATTAATAAAATCAAATATCTGAAGAAAAAAATTCAGTTAGTCAGAGTATTAGCAGATTATTGTGTATCTCCAAATTTGACCAAATCTCTCTGTTGACTAGAAAGAGATTACCAAAAAAAGAGAAAAAGTCTTGCCTTGTGAAACACTGACATTTCATATACTAAAGCTTATAAGCACACAATTGACAGTAGTTCATATATGTCTTAAAAGTTTAAAAAATGTATATATTGAAAATGACAATTGAAAGAAGTTTCAGTAAAATAGGATCCATTACAGTATTACCATTCTTTCAGGTGGTAGGGTCTGAACAGAAATTGGAATTCATAAGAAAAACCATATTTAGTGATATGAAGAAGAATTAGGCATATAAAAATAAAACAATAATTTGTTAATGTAAAAATCCAAAAGATACTGTTGGCTCAACATTTTTTAGAAAAATTTTAAAAGCTGGCTCTTTCTTAATTGCATCACAGAGATGATGCAATTGACAGTTGGGATTTTCTATGCTGTATACTTTCAGAGAAGAAACAACTAAAGTCCTAAAAAGGAAAAATTGTTTTGAAGCAAAATAGAAACAAAACTCATTGGTTAAAAATGAATACTTTTGGTTATAGAAAGATAAGGAGAAGAATATAGATTTTATTTTGTGCCAAGAGAGAGCCAAAATTGGCATTCTGCAAATGCTACTTCTTGAAATGACGCATGTTTATTGAAGTTAAAAAAAAGACATAGTGTAATGAAGGAATTTATATGTACAACCATCTCCTCTATTATTGGCACTGAATTGTTTCAGAAGAGTCCCAAGTAGCTGAATAAAACAAGCTTCCTTAATACTTCTGAGGCTTTATCTTATGGTTGAGAAACATAAAACTAGTTAGATTAGTCATAAAGTAAGCCAATGGCATGATATGTGTGGTGGTTCCCACCCACCTTGATGGCATATAAAAGGCCTTCTGCAGGGATGTTGTTTAGACTGAAAGGACACTTCCACATCCTTCTCTACTGCAGGGCAATCTTAACAACCAACACCATGTGTGTGTACTATAGAAACTGCTATGGGGGCCGTGGCTGTGGAATTTGTTGCTCTGGGGGCCTAATCTGTGGCTATGGCTCCCACTCTCTCTGTGGTATGGCTAATTGATGTCCCAGCTACTTTTATTGAGGACACCACAGGATGTTTTTATCTCAGACGCACATAATGTCATGATTCACCAAACATGAATCTCACATCCTGTGTCTACACTGTGGGGTGCTGTTGTGCTCAGTCGTGTCCAACTCTTTGCAACCCCATGAACTATAGCCCACCAGGCTCCTCCTCCATGGGGTTTCCTAGTCAAGAATACTGGAGTGGGTTACCATTACCTTCTCCAGGGGATCTCCCTGACCCAAGGATCCAACTCACATCTCTTGCATTTCCTGCCTTGATAGGCAGATTCTTTACTACTGAGCCATCTGATCATAAATCAATTCATATTTTGCAAGAATACAAACAAAAGTGAGCCTTAAATGCATTGGGATGGTGAGTTTTTGAGAGGAGGCAAATGAAAAATGGATATGGAAATAAAAGGATACTTTTAAAAAAGTATTATTTTAAATATTTATCATTTTAAATTATTTAGATTATTATTTTAAGTTATTATTTAAATAATAATTGTTTAACCATTTTAAATTATTATTATTATTGAAAAACACAAGATAAGACATTGATCAGTGAATATCTTGTACCAAGAACTGTGTCATTAATTCAATCTTCTGTGCCTGAAAAAGTGAAAATGAAAGTCATTCAGTCATGTCCAACTCTTTGGGATCCATTGAACTATACAGTCCATGAAATTCCCCAGGACAGAATACTGGAGTTGGTAGCCTTTCCCTTCTCCAGAGGATCTTCCCAACCCAGGTATTGAACCCAGGTCTCCTGCATTGCAGGCAGATTCTTTACCAGCTGGGCCACTGTACCTGAGGCCCTCATATATTGACAAAAGTAATGATGGGATGAAGGGAGGAGATGGCATTCCTGGAGTTCAGGGCTCCAAGGTTTCCCTCTAGAAGCTGGAAGCAAAGTGGGCCTGCAAGTAGGAGCTGGAGGCAGAGAGAGTGAAGAAACATCCTGGCTTTCTCCTGCCT